ATACAATGTATGCGAGGTAAGATATTGGGATAAAACGCATTCATGTATAATTACAGGATTCTCTTTTCTCCACGTCAAACGCCTTTCCTAATGCCCATTCAAAGTCTGCATAGCTAAGTATATTCGGCGCCCATGAAACCCGTGATAATGCAAAACTATATGTGTATACTCCATACGATAAACACTTGTGTGAGTTGATCTATACACATGGAAGTTAAGCATTATCGATGAAAATTGGACGGCTAAGCAAAATAATATTTACCATCATATAATATATTCTGGTATAAAATGTTATAATTGAACTTGATAAAAACTTGCTGGTGCGATCTATACCTCTGTAAACGATTACATTCTATCGTGCATTATTTTTTTTTCTTTACGGAGATAAAAATGTCAAGGTTGTTCACGGTAAAAATGTGGGGAATACCTTATTCTTCAAAAGTTTTCATCTCACTTCTACAGATTTTTTGTTAAAAAAATCTTTTTGAGAAAAAAAAAACATAAGCACGTGTTATCGCTTTGTTCTGTTAAAATATGTTTTGGGGTGTATAAAAATGCTGTTGTCTGATTGGACAGAAAAATGATTACGTGTACTTGATGTACATTTATAGCAACTTTCAGTTATCATTCTTGACTTCCATATTTAGAAATCGTCCAGACCTGTTATATATATGCTTACTTTCGTTTTCCTGAATAATAAACTTTTAGCATTTTTATCAACCAAGTTGCCATTAGTATTTGTTGTTTCAAGTTAGGGATTTATAGCATTTTTGTCTACACAGTACATATATTATTCTGGGTTATTGCTTGCTCATGCAGTCTTTTTTTCTTATAACATCGAAATTATTCCAAAACCTTCACTTCCTGTTTCGCTTTCGTTGTAAAGTGGAGAATTAATTATTCTATTTTAAGCATCACTGGAAAAGAGATATCTCTTTCATTAAAAGAAATATTTCTTTAGCTATTAAAGATATCTCTTTTTGAAAATCTTAATAGATATCACTCTTACTAAGAGGGATATCTCTTTTAACCTTGACAAAGAGATATCTCTCTAACTTTAAGAGATATCTCTCTCGCTTAAAGAGATATCTCTCTAGCTTATAAAGATATCTCTTTTGTTTAAAGAGATATCAATCTAAGGTAAAGATATCTCTTTTTGTCAAAGAGATATCTCTTTTAGCACAAGAGATATCTATCTTAGCTAGAGAGATATCTCTCTTATTGAGAAAAATTTTTTATTTCACGAATAAATAGTAAAAGGGATTGATATACTTTGAAATAATTTTACCGAGTAGTGAATTCACACTTCTTGTTGTTAATAAAGAGGAGGCAGTTTCATAACAGAAGCATTTGCGAATATTGATATTATCTTATTCGAATATTCGTATTCCCTTTGTCTTCCCATGTGTTTGGTCTAATAAATATACATTGAACTTAGGGTAAATGATTTTCATTGGTTGAGAAATAAACGTCAGCTAAGTCCTGAATAAATAGAGCAGTGCTCTATTCCTAAGTCAGACTTATAAATCTCGAGAAAAAAAACGTATATTACAGTGAATTACGAAATACCGGTAAAGTCTTCAATAGGTTGCTGGATAGCTCAATAGGGTATTAAATTTGGTCTAACAAGTATCTAGGTCACCAGGTTACTCAGGTTTATCATTAGATTTTACAGATAAATGTGAGTTGATCCCAATATTGTATGAAGCCATGTGTATGTGTCAAAGTGTTCTGATATAAATAAATACAATATTTTCTTTTAATTGGAATTTTTTTTTTTTTTTTTTTTTTGCAGAATTAATATACACACTGTAAGGCTAACTAAAATCCCATGACTTATAAGGCAAGCCTAATCGTGTGTACCGACCCTAAGAGCTGGCTTGGATATTGAGTTGAATCTTCAATTTATTTTCCTTTAATTGTCGGATTTCATCAATGTTCTTGTTAGATACAGTTCATAATCTCAAAATTTCAGTATACAGAGTAGAAATAAGATGTATGACACATTATTTCACCGTGCGATTATAAGGAAGGAATTGTTATACTGCTAATGTCAGAACATAAGTAGCACGTTAAAATACACATTTTATAAGAAAGCTTAATTTAATACATTCACAGAATTGAGGTTTTCATATATAAAAAATTCATTTTTGCTTTAAGTTTATGTTTTTACAAGGTTATTAGAAAAAAAAAGCATTTTATTATTGTCACGTTATCAAAGATATGCAAAAACTTGTACATATTGGAAAATGAAAATTATGAAGCTCACGGTACATGTATCGAACATAGTTTAAAATAGAAATAAATGTTTATCAAAAATGAAAAAAAAAATTTAAAAAAGCACTGCTCCTATTTTGTATTGTTTTATAGACTTTTGATCTTGAATACTGTTTGTTATTTCCATATGTTTCATGAACCTATTGAAGAGAAAAAATGTTCAATTCTGTACGAACTTATTAGGGGGTCAGAGCGTGACCAAATCACAGAGCGGGACGATATCTTGTTAACATATCTCTATATGGTTTCTGCACTTCTAAGTTCTAAGCGATGAAAAAGTTCAAATAACTGAAACATATCTTATTAGAATTTTTTTTGTTTCAATCAACTGATGGTCAATAGTTCTTCCTTCTGTGTGAAGAATGTTTTAAATAATGTAACCTTAAAAGCCTAGAATCTCACTTAACGTTTTAACCCGAAATTCTATTGAAGTTTGTAATGTAAACCAAAAGACTTCAAATTTATTTAGAACTCATAGTATAGTAAGATTATTCTCAGATGGGATCTTCGTTCTAACATTATAAACAGACAATTCCGGAACTTGCTAAAAAAAAAAAAAGAATTGCAAATATTCAATTGAGCTATATAAACTTTGCATGCAGGTGATGAAGGTATTTTGCTGCATGAGAAGTGACTCTTGGAATAAATGGTAATACATTTTACTTCATTTTTTTAGTTAATTTTAGATGTAACAACTTTAAACTCCCTTTTGAAACAGTGAGATGGAATTTTCTTCCTAGAGAATAAAGGATTTGTACTTTATGTGATCTTTTTAGATTGGTGATGAATTTTATTATGTTTTTGGATGCACACAAAAAGATATTAAAAAGGTTAGCTATAGGTTAAAATATATATCAAACTGTCTCATATGCAGACCAAATATAGAGAAATTTAAGCAACTTTTTACGAGAAACTGTTCAGTATTGAAAAAAATATGTAAATTATTGATTGTAAACAAAGCATTGATGGAAATAATTGACTTAAGGTAGAGCCTATGTCGGAGAAGTCTTTGTCACAAGATTTTCAAACTTTTCATAATGATAAATTAGCACCCGCTTATCAATCAGTCAAAAGCTCATGACATGTTTCCTTGTTATTAAATATAGTGCAGCCAGTTAAACATGGAATGATAACATATTACAACTTCACAATTTCAGTCATTTTTAGGGGTACTTGTCATGCAAAAAAGAAAAAAAAATCAAATAATTCTTTCCTTAAACATCGTTGTTTTTATTGTTTATTAATTGAACAGTATCAAACAATATTTCCCGAGAATAAATTCTCTTTTATTCAATTGACATAAAAGATAAGTCCACTTTTTAAAAACTATAGGCGAATGAACTCTATTTATTTTCAGTCAATTTTCCACCCTACATTTGTAAATATTTTTCAGACGTCTTTGTCACAATGTTTTCAATTTTTAATATGATAAAGAACATACCCAAATGATTGCAAAAAGTGATTAAAATATATACCTTTCCCCTCTAATTAATGAGAGATAGGTAATTTACCGATCCTAATATTCTTGACCTTTTTGCACTTACACGGGATTTAATTATTAAATGACTATTTGGGGTTACTTTCAGATTAAAAATGTTTATCAAAAATTGTACATTTAATTTAAAAAGATCATATATAATAGAAAAAGTGTAAATGTGTAATCAATTGTAATCAAACTCCAAGAATATGAATAAGTAACATATAATTATGAAAAGAAATGCACATCATTTCATGATAGATATCACAAAATGTATAAACGATCTACAACACGTACATCTTTGACTTAGACACATTTCATCAACATAGTACAACTATTTAATTGGCAACTGAAGATTTTTTTTAGAATTTTTGCATTCATTCAGAATAGTAACATGCACATACCATTTACATTATTACAGTAAGTTGTATATACATTGTTATTTCATTGCAAAAGATGGCCTTGGATTTGTAAACTTAATAAAGGTCGAAATCTATTAATTGAAAGGTGCCTACAGGTTTCTCTAATTCAAAAAACATATTTCATTATGCATTATAACAAAAAAAATTGAATTAAGATTATTTCGGCATAATTTTAAATTGAATTCTGTGAATACCGGTATATTTTCTACCATTTCTATTGAAGCTGTTAAGTACGGGAAAAAGTGACATTGAATTAATTATGACGTCATAATGGATCTAGCATATGCTAAACACATTCACTAGTTATGATGTCATACGACATAGGTTCTACGTTAAACTTTAACATGATATTTGTACTGTTTATTATAAATGTATTTTATTCTTTTTCTTTGTATATTTTTCCTACCTCCTCTCTACAATGTATGTCTGTACATTTAAGAGAATAAAGCACTATCATTGTTATACGGGTGTACTCTGGTAAAGTGCAATAAACAATTAATAGCGAATTAATTACGGCTAAATAAATACTACCAAGAAGTAAATTGTTCTAGGTCTTATACATGGTAAAAAGAATCAAAAGAAAAATTATAGAGAAGGGAAATTTTAGAATATGAATTTCGTTTTCTATTTCTTTTTTTTTATATCTGGATCCTTTATATCTCTGGAGGTTTTTTTCTAGGACTAGATTTTGTAAAATATTTCTTTATTCCTGTAGTCCTTTTTCTATGATTTATTTTTAGCAGTATATTTATATTTATTGAGGTTTTATTTGTTTCTAGTTTTCAGAAAAATCACAAAAATACTAAAGAAAGTTGAAGAGAAGTATGGCGTCCAATTCTCTTTCAAAAGGCCAACAGAATTTTACAACTCTTGCAATAGCCTGTGTTGACGAAATTAGAATTGTCTTTAGGGATATTCTTGAAAGCAAGATCAAGATAGATGATCTTTACACCAAGATCCAATCATGCCAGGACCTGTCAACTGGGGATTACAAACTAGAAACAATTCAACGTGAGATTTGTGAGAAAGCTACTGACTATGAGAAGTTTGATGTTACTTTGCTGTATAAACTGATACGAAATCTTTGTCTAAACCATGAACCAAGTAAAAGAAAAGGGAAAACATTATCCAAATCAAACTTGAGAAATATAAAAGATGCTATTGAGTACCTCAAAGAGTTCCGTAACGAAGCATATGCTCATTTGACGTCTTCTGAGGTATCTGATGAAGAATTCACACAACACTGGGATAACTTGGAAAAACATATTCACAAAATACAAACATTTATGGAGTCACTTGGGAAAAAGGTTCATTATAAAGAGGACATTGCATCTATTAAACGAATTCGTTATTATCAAAATGATTTGAACAAATACAAAAATCTCTTGGAATTAATAGTGATATTGTGGAAACAATTAGAAAATAAAGGTAAGGGGTGTAATACTCGTCATATTTTGTGTTTAAATTTAAGGTGCATAAACCCTCTGCTCACTCATATAAAAATTTACTCTATTTATGTGATTTCCAAAAAGAAATGTATATGCTTAATAAAATAAAAACAATTATAGCATGGCTTGCGGGGCAAAATTTGACAAAAAAGCACTTAAACTTGACAAATTTATAAAGGAATAAAAGACATTTGTGTATTTATCTCTCTTATCAGAGTATCGATGTACCTTAAGAGCAATCAAGTTATGATTATTATTATTTTCGATTTAGATGCTCCGTTTATAACAGTAGAAGGAAATGGAGAAATTCTTTGTGGAGAAAAGGCATGTTTCGAGGCAGTGACAAAAAATTGTCCAGTCAACAATAACTGGCAAATTACATGGCAGAGAATCAGGGGTAAAATAACAGAAATAATCGACATAAGTGAAAAGAAATACGATGGAAGTTCCAGTAAAAGGCTAGTTATACCCCGGGTTTCAATGGAGGATGATGGAGAATATCAGGCCGTGATAGCAACAGTACATAAAGGAACTCTTTCCTATGTAACAAGTAACAGTTTTCGTCTGGATGTCATAGGAGGTATGTCGTTGAATGCTTTCTATATTTAACAAATAATGAATACTTGACAATAATTTGTAAATGCTTAAGCTGCAGAAACATGTATGAAATTTGTGATCATTTTATTAAAAAGTATTCGGACATCCGCCTTCTTTTCCTTCACAGATTAAAGAAAACATTGAAAAATTTACAAGGTTAAACTTGATTAAGATGAAAAATAAGTAAAAGTATTACCTTTCAGATCCCCCAAATCTGGATATAAAAGAGGCAATCACAGGTATAGATATCACCATTCTTTATAATATAGAAAACACATCTCCAGTAATAGAGAAAATAGAGTGGACCAAAGATAAAAAGCGTTTAGAGATGGATCCAACTAAGTATAAAGGTGGTGGAATTACAGATAATTATCTTGAAATCTTGTCTCCATCAGAGAATGACGCCGGTGAATACAAATGTACAGTTTCAAATGCTGTGGGATCAGTTGTGAAGCAAATAGTTCTAGGTAGTGAATATACATACATATAGTTCATGCGAGCACTTTTTAACCTCACATGGTTTTATGCACATGTTAAAGTCACATTTCTCTTACTTTAACATTATCGAACTTCAGAACGACGACTTAAGGCTAATATGTATTGAGTATCTCATTTTTAAGGTTAAGGTTAAAATTTAGTTTTTAAAGTCCCCGTTTTAATGAGGACTTTATCAATAAATGGCATGATGTTACAACTGTATGATTCTTCCACAGGTATTTACAAATTGAAATATAGCTTTCTTTAATGCTATTTAGTTGAAATTTACAAATTGACTTTTTAAAGATTGGTATGATTCTAAGTATGTATTTTGCTCATTTACCATATTCGTCTTTGTGTAATTGAAATGTTAGGTCGAAAAGGACATTGCTACTTATAGAAACTTAAAGAAATCATGCAAAAACATAGAATTGTTTATCTTTTAAGATAGATAATTTTAATTATTGAAAGTAAAACTCTTTTACATTTATGTTTCGAATCTTGTGGGGAACATATCTTGGATAATACTAGATTTCAGAAAGTAACTCTGAAAAACTACCGTAAAAGGAAAGCAGACAAACAGATTAGAACTTCTGTTTTCATATTGCGCTTTAGAGTCATGTTAATGTACAGAAAATACCGAAGTAACATTAGCTGCACTGTTACTTTGTCTTGGCAAGACAAATGACAGCTTTTAAGAGACAGTTACAAAACACTGTATTTAACAAGAAACCATCAAAAAATTTGGGAACTGTTATAATCTATCAGCCAAGCGAATAAAGAACTAAAGTACCACTTATCGCATTTTAACAATGGGACTTTAATTTGTTTAAAAGGCATGTGTGTTTAAAAAATGTGCGAAGCTGTACTCCTATTTTCTTGCTTATGTAATTCAGAAGGTTAAAATACATTTTCAGAATATGATTTGCATTAGTTATAGACAGATCGTTAGTTTTCTGAGAAACCTTTTTTTTTCCTTTTTTTTTTATTTTGTGTTATATTTAACTGAGAGATAGAAATAAAAAGAACAACTTCCTTATACGAAATCATTTGAATATTTTTCTTTTAGCTGTCGCATCTGTAGAAATTTGCAAAGAACTGAAAGTTCCTTTGGGTGGCTGTGCCACGATTGAATCCAGCATACAATCATGCCCTTCACTGAAAGAAGTAGTATGGCAAAGAAGTAAAGATGGAAAACCTGAGAATTTTATGACCATAGACATCAATGATGTTACATATTTTGGAAGCAATTCGGATAAGAATAAACCTACACTAGAAATAAGAAATGCATCCTATGGGGACAATTTATATTACCGCCTAAAAGTCGCAAATGGAATTGGCATTACTACAAGCAATGCAGTTATTGTGGAATTAGTTGGAGGTGTGTAGAAAAAAGTATATCGAAAATTACTTCTAACACAATGCCGAGCATTCTCTCAAATATCACATACGCTTAATGTAATACATCCAAAGTACAAAAATAACATTACTTAAATCGTTTGAAAATATTCTCCGTTTTAAGTTGTAAAATCATTTCACATTATATCGTTTATTTGAAATCCATTTCAATGGATGAATGTGATGCATCTTACTTTTTTCATCAATTTGTCTCTTCTGTTATCATCAAAGTGAAATTTGCCATAAGTATTTTAAATGGCTAAATTAAAGTGTTTCGTTTTGTCTCAATTACAGATTATCCTTCTGTGTTCACATATCATGAAACTAAAACTCGTGATATGAGCGTTAAACTCCTATGCAAAGTCTCCCTTTCGGAGGGTTCACCAGAGGTAACAAACGTTGTCTGGACAAAAGACAAAAAGGACATCGAAATATCAAGTAGTGGGGGAAAATTTGGTGAAGAAAACACTGAGGAATTTTCGCTATTAATACACAAAGTCAATGCAAACGACGCTGGGGAATATCAATGCCGTGTCTCGAACAGTGTGGGGTGTATGTATGGAAATCCAATTTATTTGGGTAAGCTTAGCTTGTCGTATTGTGATACAGAAGACAATAAGATCATGTTTACATATATGAGCATAAACATAAATTAAGTTAGGGTAACAAAAATGGACATCTGTGACGGCACATATTGTTGTTTTGTACATACAACTGTACTGTCGTTGGTGACAATATGTACCCACCCTCTTAGCACATTTTGTCGCCCATTGTTACATATTGTCGCCGGTGTAACGACGACAAATGACCCCCGTAGAATATTGACCTGCGGGTCATTTTTCTACGTAGAAAAATGACCCCAGGTCAATATTCTACGACAAGTAGGAGCAGAGCAAACACAAACCTCCAAAACATCAGACGTTGGATCAGGTGCCATGGAGGAGGAGCATCCCCTGCTGAGAGGTCACACCCGCTGTGTAATCCTTGTCATGATCTGGAAATAACGGATAAATTCGTCGTCAATTCAATGTAAAATAATGAACTAACAATCAGCACGAAAAACGTCAGTCAGCATTTGACTTAATGATAAACTGTATTTGCTGACAAGGTCATTGTATCGATCATAGAACTTACGAAATTATGACTTTTAACGAATATTCTTGTTTCATCAACTTGCTTGTCAATAATTTACCTCGTTTAAGAAAAGGTTCATTCGAAGATCATGCTCTTGCGTATCAAATCAACTGAGATACATACACTTCGTATGCAGGTGATGAAGGTTTATTGCTGCGTGAGTAAAGGAAGTTGACGAAAGAAAAGTTAAAACCATCACGTTTATCATATAGCTTGGTTGTTAGATTACCATTAATGTATATTTCAAGTAAAATATCCAAGTATGAAACAAATGTGTCAGACTCTGTGGTATCTTTTATCTCAAGCTCTTCAGCATATATCGTATTGACATAGGAATGGAATTCACCATTGTTGATTGACAATACGTCGTCGATAGATCTAAATGTCGAGTTGAAGGCCACAGCAAGTGTTTTCTTCTTTTCAGGCATAAGATCTTGCACAAAGTTTGCTTCATATGAATACAAAAATAGGTCTGCTAATAACGAAGCGCAATTGGTACCCTTGGGAATTCCAATAGATTGTTTGAAGACCTGGTCTCCAAAAACCACATAGATTTTTTCGATCAGAAACTTAAGCATCTTTTTTATGTCAACTTAAGAGTACTTGTGTGTGTAATCAGAATGTGTTTTAATAAGTTAATTGTGCAAATGACCAATTACCAGGTAAGAGAATTTACGAGTTCTATTTTTACTGAAAAAGCAGCTGTCAATGATATCAAAAAGTCTGGATTTTAATTTATCATGGGGAATGGTTGTGTATAAAGTTGAAAAGTCGTAAGTTTTTAAGCTGTTGATTTTGGTAAAATCTTGTGATTTCAAATTGTCCAAAAGTTCTTTGGAATTTTTTAGTATCCACATCTGATTCACACCACTTCTTGAATATATTGTTGCACAGTACTCTTGAAGTTTTTCCTTCATTTCTGTCAATATCTCAGTGAGATGTAAGAGGCATGGTTGAACATTTACTGGAATCCGCAATTTATCTTTTTGTTAGGATTCTTATGAAATTTCGAAATTCAATATATATAGGGTAGTTCAAATTCATTTTGGCTCTGTGGAATATCAAAAATATTCAAAACTGACATATGATTTTGAAGAATTTCTTCATCAGAAAGGGAAGTATGAGTATAAGTAGGATTACCACTCGTAGAATTAAATCCAAGTTCTTCTAAAATACAATTTGTATTATGAGCCTTACAAACGAAGACAATGTTGTTACCTGCTTTGTCGACAGGGACTAGTACTTACTGATCATGAAATCTATCTAATTCTTTTTACACTTCTGAATTATTCATAAGAATCCTTACAAACAAAGATAAATTGCAGGTTCCAGTAAATGTTCAACCAAGCCTCTTTCGTTACTTCTCACTAAAATATTGACAGTAGTGAAGGAAAAACTTCAAGAGTACTGTGCAACTATATATTCAAGAAGTGGTGTAAATCAGATATGGATACTTAAAAATCCTCGTCATTGGTCATTTGAAAAATTATTTTGTTAAAACAGATTCTGATTGCACACATAAGTACTCTGAAGTTGACATCAAGAAGATACTTGAGTTTCTGATTGACAATATCTATGTGGTTTTTGGAGACCAGGTATTCCAACAATCTGTTGGAAGTCCCATGGGTACAATATGCGCTCCGTTATTAGCAGACTTAATTTTATATTCATATGAAGAAGAATTTATGCAAAATCTTATGCGTGAAAAGAAGAAAACACTTGCTGTGGCCTTCAACTCGACATTTAGATATATCGACGACGTATTGTCAATTAATAATGATAATTTCCTACGTCGATACGATATATCCTGGTGAGCTTGAGATAAAAGATACCAAAAAGTCCGATACTTCTGCTTCATACTTGGATATTTTACTTGAAAAAGACACTAATGGTAATCTAACAACCAAGCTATATGATAAACGGGATGTCTTTAATTTTTCTGTCGTCAACTTCCCTTACTTATGCAGCAATATACCTTCATCACCTGCATGCGGAGTATATATATCTCAGTTGATTCGATACGCAAGAGCGTTCTCTACGTATGAACAATTTGTTAAACGAGGTAAATTATTGACGAGCAAGTTGATGAAACAAGAATATCAACAGTCTCGTTTAAAGTCATCATTTCGTAAATTCTATGGTCGATACAATGACCTTGTCAGCAAATACAATTTATCATTGAGTCAAATACTGACTGACGTTTTTCATTTCAATTGTTAGTCCATTATTTATACACTGAATTGACGACGGATTTTTTCCGTTATTTCCTGATCATGACAACGAGCACACGGCGGGTGGGACCGGTCGGCAGGGGATGCTCACTCCTCCATGGCACCTGATCCCACTTCTGATCTTTCGGAGGTCCGTGTTTGCTCTGCTCTTATTTTGTTTATTGTTTAATGGACGTTGAGATTGAATACTGTTCGTTATCTCCAAATCCTTCCTTATTGAACAAAGAGGGATAGACGGTTTTTATATTGCCCCTCAATCTTTTGATACGCGACTTAAACATTAATCTGATACATTTAATCCATTCTGACAAAGTGCAAACGTCTTCCTTTCATTTTATCTGGCCCATTGTCTGGCGTAATTTTCAACAAAATCCATAATATTTATGAAATTTCAACGCCAGTTGAAGGAGCGGGGTTATGAATTTTGCTTTAAAATACACACTTTTTAACTACCTTATATAAAGTACTAAATTTTTTCATGTATATACAGGAAATATCATACACATCGAGAACATTCTTATAATTATATTAGAAATTCTTCTAAAACTGGCAAAAAATTACATCTGAGTGAATAACAGTTAAACCTTCAGAGATATCTGTAAATTCAAAAAAAAACTTCCCTTTTCCACACTTTTTAGCCCACAGACATCTGACCAATGGTTGCTGTTACATCCCCTTTCTTCTGAGATTTTATAGAAATTACCTTTGCTAATTAATGAACTCCATTAGTCAATCATGCAATTACTTCGATATAAAGTACTGGCATGTACCGTCCAAAACTTAATGCTAAAGTACACAAAAAAGGTCTTTTCATAAAAATACAACTGTGAAATATGAAAGCCATAGTCCCACTCAGTCTAAAAATATGGGCAAGATTGATGCGGAAAAATATACAAACAGACAAACGGACGGGTAAAAAAACTATATACCCCGGAAACTTTGTTTACGGGGGCATAAGTATAACATTAAAGTAACAACGTTTTCATCATCCAACATTTTTTATTCTATTGGTAAACGAACTCCTAAAATCATTATATGTACGTACATGTAGAACAGGGAAAACGATACTACATGTGCCAATTTTTGGAAAGATGCTTACTCCTTTTTTTGTAGTTAATCGTGTTTTATACTACAATCCCCATTTCGTTATGGTTTTGTTGACACTAGCAAACGACAAAAGACATTTTACAAGTTCTGAGCTAACCACGTTTTGTTACCTTGGTGTCAGGGGTCAGAGGCAATTTAATTTCGTACTTATTTTTACAAATTAAATCATCCCTAGTTTTTTATGAGAAGTTTGAAACTTCATTCATAGAAAACCAAATATTTTTATAAGATCTAATTTTTCTAAGCTAGCGTCCTTTTTCGCACCAGTTTTAAAAGTAGTGATCAAAAACGTTAAACTTATGAAAATAAAACTATTTTGATTTTTGCAGTTTATTTATCCTGGGTAAAATCAAAGAGATTTATAATTAATTAATTACGGAAACTTTTTTTCAGACACCAGCTAGAAAAAAACCTTTTTTTTTTTACTGTGAAAACTTACTGTATAAAATGTAATAAACGTTTCTATGAATGCGTGTATCTTTGCTCCAATAGCCTTTAGCTAGAACATTTTAATATTGTTTTCCTTTAATGGTGATTAAACAGTTTGTATTATTTGCTTTGATTTCGTCATATAAGCTAGCTAAAAGCTTTCAGAAATAACACTTCAAAGCATAAGGCAGCTTGACATTACCCTTATACATTCGCCTAACAAAAACATTCCTAACAAAACGAATGTTTTTGCATCAAAAAATGACAATGGGTCATTATTCTATGGGGTAATTTTTCTACAATGCACACGGAGAAAAACGACCCACAGGCCATTATTTCTACAGAAACTACAGAAAAGTGGGTGATTTTTGTAAGTAGAATATTGACCAGGGGGTCAAATTTCTACGTAGAAAAATGACCCCCGGTCAACATTCAACGGGGGTCACTTTTCGTCGTTACACCTGCTCAAAATTTACACATAAGCTCGTGCATTTGAACAGCCAGTTTGTGCAAATATTCACCAATATAAGTTCAATAACTTCTTTATTATATAGCTAAAACATTTCCACATAATTTATAATAATTATTACAACTAAAAAAGACTCAAATTAATTATTTTTTATAATTTGTATTCAAATTAATTATTTTTTATAATTTGTATTCAAATTAACGTCTGTCTTGTAACCGTTTCACAGACGTTAATTTGAATACCGGTTATAAAAAAGTCATTAATTTGAGTGTTTTAGTTGGAATAATTATTGTAAATTATTTGGAAATGTTTTATCTATATAATAAAGGAGTCATTGAACTTATATTGGTGAATATTGGCACTCGTTCGCTGTTCAAATGCAATCGCAAGCTCGTGCATTTGAACAGCCAACCTGTCCCAGTATTCACCAATATAAGTTCAATAACCCTATGATATAGTGCAAAATATTACTAGTCTTTTACCAACCTAAGTGCCTATTTCAATGAGAATTTTCACTAATCATAATTATGTCAACTAAACTATGATGTACAATTGCATATATTTAGACAAACCTATAGTTCAGATCGGAAGTCCGGAAAGAGATGACAAATCTGATGTAATAATTTATCATGCAACAATTGAATCTATTCCGGAAGCCCTAAAAGCTGAATGGAGAGTTCAACAAATCCCAGAAGATGATTTCAAACCAATAAATGTCCATGATTCCAGTTACAGAGGTTCTACTGTTTCCTTACCATATCCAGTCCTGACTGTCCATGGATATAGTCAAAAGCATGGTCAAAGATTTGAAATCAGAGTGACGAATTTCATTGGGGAAACTAGAGAGGTTATATATGGTACACCGTTACATATATTGCTTTTGTGTTTTAGTGTCAAATATATTGAAAATTACTAACCATCATAACTTTTATATATTAACTTCTCGTGATTTACTTAAGGGTCCTCCACACACCCACAGCTTTTGTACTCATATTATTGAGCATTACTTTTAACAAGAATATCAACCTTTAAACAGTGTCCAGGGATTAAAATATAATTTATACTTATTTTCTAAAATAATTATTTCACAAGTTTCAAGAAATTTTTCCCATGGCATTTTCATACCTAATACAAAAGATCTTGTCTTACCCTTTCGTATATTTTTAATGAATTAGATTACATCAAAAAATTTAATTAAAACTAGTAAACTAATTGTTCAGAGAACAATAAGACGTCTTTCTTACCTTTTTAAGACTTTCCATGTCATTTGGGTTGGAAAAATGAAGAAAAACACCAGAAAAACGCCCAAAATTTAAAAAATTCCAAAAAAAAAAAAAAAAAAAAATTGCTTCCAGGAGGATTCAAGTCAACCAGTCAAGAAGTTCCAGTTTATAAACTTCTGACAAGCTCCTGGATGTAAATGTGAGTTTGAAAGAGATTGTTTTCGAGTTAAAATGTAAGGGATATTGTCTGATTACAATTATAATATTGTTATTAACGGGTATACATGCATTTGAGGTTGCGTATATGTATTTGAAAAAGGCTGCTTTCGTTTTGACAGATCGCATGTAGTAAACTCATAGGTAAGATTTAATAATCATTTCTATTTGAATTGAATTAGTAGTTACCAGCATAAATTTAACTTGAAACATGCATCTCAGGAAAAAAAAAAAGTTGTCATTGAGAGCGTGGAAATTTTTTTGACAGGAAAAATCGCTATTTTTCGAGATTCATTCCATAAATATTAAATCTAAATAAAATTGAAATAAATTCCACATACTAAAGAAAGCAAGAATATTTGGTATTAAAATGTTGTAGTAGAGCAGGAGAATCGAATGATATTAACAAAAATCGAAAAAATAGCCAATACAAGCTTTAATTAATTTTTATACTCAGCAACTATTAAATTTCAGACAGAAAAAAATTGTAGATTTTGCCGATATTCACTAGAATTTAATTGTACTTAAGAGACTCACCGTAAAACTCTCAGGGCACTTTCTTTGAGGTGTCTTGTACATGCTAAACTGGATTTTATGTTCATCTTTGGTTTCGTTTGACTTGTACAAAAGTTTTCTAGGCAGCTATTGATTTTTTTTTATTAGACAATGGGGGGGGGGGGTATATAATATAAATATTAGTCTTTGTTAAAGTAAGAGTTGTAGATACCTCCACGTACTAATGATTGATTGTGACCTTTGGGTCAAAGGTCAAAGGTCATGGTCATCCAAAAAAAAAAAACCCCAAACACTTATAGAGTTGAACTTTACCTTTGAAGCTCAATCTAGGTGAAGGTAATGAAGATATCTTTTTAACTTGTGAGAAAAGGTCCAGGTCAAAGGTCAAGGTCAAATTTGAAGCTGAAAGGTCAAGGTCATTTACAAAAAAAACCAGATATAAGCAATTTTGATACTTTCCAAATGACCTTGACCTTTGACCTTGACCTTATCTTCAAGGTCAAAGGTCGAAATCTCTCATGCATTGTCCACATGTCTTTACAACTTGCCGCTAAAATTTTTTCAGTTCTTCGTAAACATCAGAAACTCTAAGGGGCAATAACTACTAAAAATGGTTGACGAATCCTTTCTCAATGAATATATTCAAGAGTCTACTAAATTAGTCGTAGACATTATTGAAGGTTTCAAATATCTGCGGTTTACGGTTTCAGAAGAGTAGCGATAACAAGGGTTTACACTGAAAGGGGCATTAACTTTTAGAGGGGTCAATCTTAAGGGACAAGCATGAAATCTCTGCAATGGTTTTAAGAGTACATATTAAAGATGCAAAGATGTTTAAAATTTGTTGAAGAACAAAGGAGCTACCCAAAAAAAATTAATTTTTTCATATTTTGAATGACCTTGACCTTTGACCTTGACCTACTTTTCAAGGTCAAAGGTCATAAGATCTCATGCAGTTGTTCCCAAATCTCTACCACTTGTCATTTAAAAGTTTAAAAAAAAAAAAATTATGCTTTAAAACTTTCAGGGGCAATAACTACTCTAAGGAGTTTAGGAATTCTTTCGCACTTCACAGTTTGGAGAACCGACTAAATTAGTCGAAGACATTGGTGAAGCAAGCGTACCTCTATGGTTTACGGTTTCGGGGGAGTAGCGATAACAAGCATTTCTTGTGAAAGGGGCAATAACTTCGAAAGGGGTCAGAGTTCATATGCGTTGGGTCAAATCTGTTCCTAACTTTTAATGACCTTTACGATGAACAAAAAGTCCCTTCGATAAATGTCGAAACAAAAAATCAGCGGAAGAAAAATAATGGGAATTTACAGAAGAAAAGCAACTAGGAGACTTATTGTTCAAAGAACAATAAGAGGTCTTTCCACCTTCTTTGAATTTCAATTTTGTTTTATATCTGACTCCTTAAAATTAAATTCCATGAATAAGAAAACTAAATTGTCTTAAAAGGATAAATTAAAAAAATGAAAATTAAAAAAAAATTTGAAATGACCTTGACGTTTGACCTTAAAAAGATGTTCAAGGTCAAAGGTCAAGGGTCACAATGCAATTGACCCCGTGCTTCTACGACTTATAGTTTTTAAGTTATAAGGTTTTATAGTAAGTACAAAGACGTTAAAGGGCAATAACTCATATAAGGGGTCATCAGATCCTTCCGCACTTATACAGTGAAGTTATACCTCAAGATCCTAAAGATATTAGTGAAGGTTTGGTGTATCTACGGTCTACGGTTTCCGAGGAGTAGCGATAACAAGGTTTTTAGCACAAGGAGAAATAACTTTTAAAAGGGTCAATCTTAGGGGACAAGAATAAAATCTCTGAAATAGTTTCAAGAGTACATATTAAAGGTGCAAAGACAGATAGTATGCATTGCAAGACAAAAGAGATATAAAAAGAGCTGAATTTCTCATTTTTGGAATGACCTTGACCTTTGACCTTTGAATTAATTTCATGATCAAAGGTCAATGAATCTTATGCAGTTGATCCCATGTCTCTATCACTTCTCATTTTGAAAATTTTTAATTATTTCTAAAATTATAAAAGTTTCAGGGGCAATAACTCATTGAAGGGGTCTAGCAATACTTTCGCAATGAATAGATTCCAGAGTCCTCTTAATTAGTCAAAGACTTTAGTGAAGGTTTCATATTTCTACGGTTTACGGTTTCGAAGGAGTAGTGATAACAAGGTTTTTAGTACAAAGGGCGATAACTTTTAATAGGGTCAATCCTAAGGAATACGAATTAAATCTTTGAAATAGTTTTAAGAGTACATATTAATGACGCTAAGACAGTTTGTATATGTTAAAAGACAAAAAAGATATAAAAAGAGCTTAATTTCTCAAATTTGGAATGACCTTGACCTTTGACCTTTGCTATTATTTCATGATCAAAGGTCAATGAATCTTATGCAGTTAGTCCCATGTCTCTATCACTTCTCATTTTGAAAATTTTTGATAATTTCTAAGATTAAAAAAGTTTCAGGGGCAATAACTTATTGAAGGGGTCAACGAATACTTTCGCAATGAATAGATTCCAGAGTCTTCTAAATTAGTCGAAGACTTTAGTGAAGGTTTCATATTTCTACGGCTTACGGTTTTGAAGGAGTAGCGATAACAAGGTTTTACGTACAAGGGGCGAGAACTCCGAAAGGGGTCATAGGTCATATACGTTGGGTCGCTATTCAAAATAACTTTTGGTTTCGAGTATCATAAACACAAAAGTTTTTCGATAAGTCTTTTGGATCAAAAGTCCATAGCGGAAAAATAATAATAACTAGGAGACTTATTGTTCACAGAACAATAAGAGGTCTTTCCACCTTCTTTGAATTTTTCAATTTTATTTTATATCTGACTCCTTAAAATTACATTCCATGAATTAGAAACCAAAACTATCCTAAACGATAGAAAAAATGAAAATAAAAAAAAAATGAAATGACCTTGACCTTTGACCTTGAGAAAATATTCAAGGTCAAAGGTCAAGGGTCACAATGCAATTGACCCCATGCTTCTACGACTGATAGTTTACAAGTTATAAGGTTTTATATTAAGCACAAAGAAGTTAAAGGGCAATAACTCATTTAAGGGGTCATCAGATCCTTTCGCATTTATACAGTTCAGTTAGGCCTAAACACCCTTAACACATTAGTGAAGGTTCGGTGTCTCTACGGTGTATAATTTGGGAGGAGTAGCGATAAGGTTTTTCGCACAAGGGGCAATAACTTTTAAAAGGGTCAATCTTTGGGGACAAGAATGAAAGCATTGAAATAGTTTTAAGAGTGCATATCAATGATGCATAGACATTTAGTATATCTTGAAAGACAAAAGAGATATAAAAAGGGCTAAATTTCTCATTTTTTGAATGACCTTGACCTTTGACCTTTACATGAATTTTAAGGTCAAAGGTAAATAAATCTTATGCAGTTAGTCCCATGTCTCTACCACTTGTCGTTTTGAAAATTTATAATTATTTGTAAAATTCAAGAAGTTTCAGGGGCATTAACTAATTGAAGGGGTTTACAAATCCTTCTGCAATGTTAGAGTGAAGAGTCCTCTTGCTTAGTCCAAGACACTGCTAAAGGTTTCAAACCTCTGCGTTTTACGGTTTCGGAGGAGTAGCGATAACAAGCTTTGCAATGAAAGGGGCAATAACTTCGAAAGGGATCAAAGATTTTTTCAGAATAACTTAAAATATCCAATATCATGAACTATTCAGTTTGTTGATAAGTCTTGCGTTTTCAAAAGTTAAGGGAAGAAAAAGAATAATAAACACTAGGAGACTTATTGTTCACAGAATAATAAGAGGTCTTTCCATTGGTGAAAGTTTCATACCTCTACGGTTTACGGTTTCAGAGGAGTAGCGATAACAAGCATTTCTTGCGAAAGGGGCAATAAC